AATTTCTTATCCCTTGACGCTGTATATGCTCTTTGGAAGAATCATAAAGGGAAACAAAGTTGTGGGAGTCTTTAAATTGTTATTTTTAAAAAAGATAAAAATATTTGCTTGCATTTACATTTCAATGAAACTATCATTTAGAGTTTAGATGGCACATTGCATATTCCTTCTTTATTTTCTATATACCTGTAATTTCTGTGATACCATTTATTTTTACCCTTTTAGAATGTAATCAAAGTGTTATCGGCATTACTTAACAATATAGGGTAAAGTTGCCGAAGCCGCACTGACTCCTAAATCACAGTACGCTTAAAAATTCAATTACTGTATTTACATAGTTTCTTACGTGTTATTTAAGAACTACATTCGTATTGCAGCGTTATTCTATTGTATTCATGATATGAAACGCAATAGAAGTATTATTTACATAAATAAAAAAATCATGATAGCGTTACTATTTTCCAACGTATTTTATAACAGAAAATGTAAGTTAAATAGCCTAAATCTTAGTCATTTGTTGAGATTAAAATATCATTAAAATTAAATTAATAGTGTTAAAATTTGTTTTACATTTTTGTTTACAGGTTACAATAAATAAATAAAAGTTTTAAAAGTGTTCTATTTTCTGAAATCGCACCACAATCTAAATGACGTTGCCTAATATTTTTACATTTCTTACATTTTTATTCCATTTATTATGTAAAAATTATTATTATGTATAATATATTGTAAAGGTAAACCTACAAAGTGTTTATTTTATTTCGCGTAGAAACTCCTTAAATTACTTCATGCAGTTCACGAAATCATGTATTTTACAAATTATGAAAAATATATTCTTAAGTTTTTAATATCATAATAAAATATAATTTTTCCTTTTCTTATGAAATTTTTAAATTTTTTGCATTAATATAATATTAGTTTTAAATGAAAAATATTGATATGGTGCGATTTATTTTCCTATATAGTTGCCAAAATCGCATCATACTTAAAAAAATCCTCGTTTCAAATATTACAATGTACCAAAAATTATAAAAAAATTATATAAGAAAGAAAAAAGAGTGCAGTTTATTATTCTGTAAAAAAAAACTTAAGAATATTCTTCATAATAATATAATTTGGAGTTATGAGCTTCTAAGTAAAAAGTGATGCAATTTTAGTAACGTTATCTTATATTTAATTGTAAGTAAGGGAAAAAGAAAAATGGTTAAAAGTATTTAGATTAAACTTGTTTCTGTTATAATTACGTTTTATTAATTGAAGTCATATAACCTGTTAAGCAGCAATTACAAAACTTATTGTTAGAGTTGGTGCGAATTCGCTTGTGTGGCATTAATAAATGCAAAATAGGTTACAACATTTTAAAAGACTATAATTTTTCGGCCAAGTTTTGAATCTTACTCAAAAGTAAGTATTTTTATGTGTGTACTAGTTTTTATTATAAATTATTAAATTTTATTAAAAATATGTAATTTTATTATTTTTCGTTCACAACACTTTTTCTCTTGTATTTTTATTTATAAATAAATAATTTTAACTTCGATAAATTCGTCAGAATAATAATAGCAAATTTTTGAACTTAAATATTAATTTTTTATTACTTTAAATACGAAACGCCACTACGGTCTGACTGTTAAGATGTTGAACTATTATATATATATATACATTAAATGAATTAATTTCAGAAATGATAATTGCGTATATGATTGTCGGACTTTCAACGCAATCAATCTGAAATATTAATAATCCTCCCAAATTTTCCAAATTTAATCTTAAAAAACTGTAATAAACTTATTACGAAAAATATTTAGACTACAATTAATTTTTCAGCCACATGGCGGAATAAAACAGATATAATCTGCGAAATTTGAAGACAATACTGCAGCCCCTCAAATAGGACGATATACGTAAAATTATATGGACAATTTTGAAAATTGACGTACAGTTCGAAAAGTGTTAACTCCTTTAAAAGAGAATACACGAGCACGATGTAATATTTGCAAGTCAGATGTCGGTGAACGTACGCAGTTAAGATGTCCGAATTGTTTGAAGCGCATTTACGATGAACATCGCTCTGGTTTATTCATACAGTGTCCAACAATTATAGATTAAATCGTCTTCACATTAAACTTACTCTTAACTTTTAACTTTGCATTAAAAATTTTTTGAAGAATAGACAATATTTTTCTACCTACATATATCTGGTACTTTATTTTCCTTTTATAAAAATGGTCAAACTTCAAGCTAACATAAAAAAATATTTTTCTTTTATTCAATTTGATTTCTAATAATTTTCCCTTACATGTAGATACATTTTGTTAATAGTAAAAACTACTCTAAACAATTGAATTGTATCAATGTAAAAACAAATATGATTAAATAAATAAAAAGTCGTTTTTCAAAAATCTGTTTAAAAAAATCACATTTTCCATTATTAAAATAAATCTTTCATACAATTTGAATTTCACCACTGAATTACCCAGAAAACACATATTTTCATTGATTTTTGCTCTACATTTTCATAACGAAATTAACGTTTAAAGACGCAATAGCCAAATTCGCATCAATGCAGTGTGGAAGTTACGGATGCGCAGTCGGGAAATGTAGAATTTGAGGATTAAACCAACAATAGTGATAATAGTGATAATAATGTAATCATGAAGTGCACATGCTTCCCACGTTTGTATCGCTGTGATCCAAGGCTAGTAGCGCGGCGCTGATTATAATTGAAGCAATCCTAATGTGCCATCGAATCGTGAAATTCCAGAGGATAACTGCCCATTCTGCTTTTGCCTACCTGTTTCCCTTGTAATGTCCGGATTGTCATAATGACGCGCGATATATACCTCGAGATTTGGAGCCGCACCGCGCCGTATCACCATCACTCGACCCCCACGATATTCCAGCTATCTCCGAGCCGCATCCCGTCGCCCATATTGTCCTCACCATCCCCGGGGGGCTTTAGGCTGCGCGGTGGAAAGGTTTTTATCAGAGGGCGCACTCCATGCGCCCCAGCCTCCTTAATTAATAGGGAAACTCACGCGCGCAAAAATGTGCGCCATTTCCGTTCGGCGAATTAGTCAGGGGTTTCTCGGAACAAAGGACGAAAGGGTTCGCTGCTGGCCTCACTGACCCAATACACGAAGGACACGGATCCCGTTATTCACGATTAACCATTACTCTTCCGCAGCAGGTGTCGACCGACCCGATAAAATCTTAATGGCGAGACTGAGATTGCGATTATGCTTTACTTTGAGGGTTGACGCGCGAAAACGTGACATAAACATTATTATTTGAAACGTAAAGAGAGAAATAAAGGAAGAATAATTTAATGATTAATTCGTATTGTTTATACATCTGCATAGAAAAAACAGTTTTGCTGATATATCTAAAAATTTAGGTAGACACAAATCTGAAAATAATTTTGTTCAACTAGCAAAATAATTATGTACAACGTTTAAACTTTAAACAATGTTTTGCCAATAGTTTTACACTGTTAAATTTGTAATGTCAAACTATACCTAAGTTTTAATTACTTGTATACTCGTATGGTATATTTGTATGGTTTTAATTAATTGTATATTAGTTATATTATTTTTATAGGTTTTTGTTTGCTTCTGGCATAATATGTCATTAATTTATAACTAAAATAATGGAGTTAAACATTTTATCCAAAATAATGTATTAAATTTGACTCAAACTTAGTTTATTATTTACTAAATGCATTAGACGTTTTTTACTTTAGTACTAATCATATAATAGAAATGAATTTACATTACATTTTAACACTGATAGAAGTAAACAATAACAAAGTATTATTTAACACTCTAAACTATAAATAAAATATTATTTAACTTTAAAGAGAGATTGGATTGCCATTGTTTCTTTGATATTTAACATATAATATTCTAACAACTAGTCTAATGTCTTGCATAATTGTTTTGACAGTCCAAACAAAATTATTTTTAAATCTACAGTTGGCTAAATGTTTAAATTTAGCAAAGTTATTTTTTTCGTGAATATTATGAAAAAATCGTTGCTTAAGAAATTCGGGAAACGCCGCGTAAAATTGAATAGCGTTATAACAATTTTTAAAACGTAAAGCAATTTTACATTCTTCCAGCTGATTAAAACAATGATAACAATTATCTTAATAAGTGAAACTAAATATTGAATACTTATACATTGTATTAATATCGGTTTGATTTGCCGAAATAGCCAAGTCGCTCACAAATTTGTCAACTATCCGCTGCGTTTTCCTTCTCTCGCGTTTGTCAAAATACAAAGCAGGAAACGCAACATAAAGCTCTTCAGCGTTATCATCACGTGCCGTTTCTTGTTCATATTCTGGTAGACGCTGAAAAGCTCGCGTCGAGCGTATAAAAGCTCTCGACGAGAATCCTTCATGCGGAATATTAAATCAACTCCGCCTCCGTCTCTCTTTCTCCTCTTTCTTCTCCTCCATCACTAACACTACCACCATCGCTACCATCACCTTCGTGTCGTTCTTCTCCTACTAGACTCCGTATCTTTGCTTCGCCATGTTTCGTTGCGAGAGATGTGAAAGCGCGACGTCTCGCTTTGACATCGAGATACATACCGCGACGCGCTCGATATTTGACACGAAAACCCACGTATCTGTTAGGAGTGCTTGTGCAAGCTCCATGCAGCTTTGCCAGACCAACGAAGATGATATTGCTAAACATTAATTTCCGTAAGTAAATCTGGAATCTCTCTGCTTCTCTAAAATTAAGTTTAGTACCAACGGATCGTTGGAAGATAATTAAAATTTTTAAGATAAGTCAGAAGAATATCTCTTAGAAGTCAAGTTTCGTACGAACAAATCGAATAAATTAAAGATAAATTAAGCTCGACAAAATACAAGTATTTTAATTTATTATTTAATTTATTAAGACAGGATTTCATATAAATTTTATTTATTCATGTGAATGAATTTATTGTTAATATTATAATTTATTAATTAAAAAATCCAATATTTTTTTTAGGAAAGGAATAAGTATTATTCCAAACAAAAATTGGTGATGGTATGAAAAATAGAGTATACATGTATTATATTATTTATTTAAAGTATGTATTATTATATAAGGATAACATTCCCGAAATTTGCAATATTTTGCATTAAATTTTACATTATTAATTTTGTTATTATTATGCAAGTTAAAAATGCGTGTGATACGTAGATATTTCTCGAGTTTATGATACTTATATTTTATTAAGTAATGAGTGCT